TGAAACAAAGTATATGTGAACTGCTGTATGGAAAGTGAATTTGCTCTGTAAATCTTCACCCAAATCACAATAAATAAATAAATAAATAAATAAATAAAAGAGAGCCAGTAATTGGAACCTGAAGATGGGGCAATCTACTTCGGTAGTGATACTGCCTTGGAAACCCAAGGAGGGATCGCTATGAGTCGGGTCTGACTCAACGGCACAAAACAACAGCAACAACGTAGGCCTTTCTTTAGTTAAAACATAAGTTTGGTCATGGAATGTTGTTGTTGTTATGTGCCGTCAAGTCATACTGACCCCTCCTTACGTTTCCGAGGCAGTATCACTACAGAAGTAGGATTGCCTAACCTTTCTTCCGAGGAGTGGCTCGTGGATTTGAATCGCCAGCCTTCTGGTTAACAGTCAAGTGCCTTAGGCACTATGCTACCAGAGCTCCTCATGGTCATGGAATAACTTTTTTTAAAATTCTTTTTAGAATGAGAACTAAGTTACAGGAAGATTTTTAGTATAAGCTAAGGATGCTAGGGTTGTGAAGTATTTCTATCTTCTAATTCTCTTCTCAGTCCTAGCTTTATTTTCAAAGACTCTTGAAAGTCTTTTATATGTTTAAGAAAGGTTTGACTTTGATGGCAACCACAATTTGATGGGGTCATCCAAGATTTAAAATTGTTTGAAGGAAATGAAGTCAACAGAGGACGACTTTCTGGAAGTAGGACTTACTTTATTGTTAGGTACACTGTGTTCCTCTTTTTTATATCATTGAATTGCATCTTCATACTCATTCTTGTATCAAATATGAGGGAATTTTGAGCATCCTTTCTCTTACAGTATGTTAGAATTATACTGATAGACTCTTTTGAGGTCATTCCTATTTATTATCATTACTAACATCTTGCTTTAAGAGATTAAGACACATTCTGTGTTAATATGGCCTCATTAACCTAACAACAAAAACCCATCCCCTAATGGGATTATGACCACAGGTATAAACCAAACCAAACTCACTGGCCATGAAGTCGAATCCAACTCATAGCAATCACTTCTTGGGTTTCCGAGGCGGTATCTCTACAGAAGTAGATTGCCCAACCTTCCTTCTGAGGAGTGGCTGGTAGGTTTGAACCTCCAGCCTTCTGGTTAACAGTCAAATGCCTTAGGCACTATGCCACCAGAGCTCCTAACCACAGGGATAGGGATAGTCTTCCAAGGCTATCTTTGCTGTTTACTATTGTAAAGAGGTCTTTTGCAACAGATTTGCTCAATGCAATACTGGTAAATACCCTTTAGCAAGTTAAAAAAAAAAAAAAAAAAAGTATTTTTTACAGAATTTTTGTATATAACGTGCTTAAGCATATAACGGGCAGAAATAATGAAATTATGTTTTAAAAAAAAATTCTGGCATAGAGTGCCCATGCATACACCTGCACATGTCTTGTGACATTTCCAGAAGAAAATCGTATTTGTAGGATAAAAGTATTTAGTATGGTCATGATGTCATGTGTCATGGGCCAAGTTTGGTAGTATATCTCAGTAATCGGAAAATAAACTACTTTAACTGTGCATTTGTCCTGGGGCAGTTTATTGTGGCCCTGAGAGCTGTGGAGTTCTTTGTAACCAATCTGATCCTGGGTACTTCACCCCAAAGGTGAGTGGAAGGTCAAGCAGAGGTCTGTGTGCGGGGCTGCCACAGCCTGAGTGTGCGTGGGTCCTGTAGTGCTGGCTTCACATGGAAGTGGGTAACAGGGCAGTGTGAGTGTGGGGACACATTGTCCTGGTCCTGTGGGGCACCCCAGGCTGCCAGTCTGACCAATCTCATCTGTGCGAGGGACGTGTAACCTCTCTGTGCCCACAGCTCTGACACCTTCCTTGAGACATCTGCATGGGTGGGAGATTCAAATGGCCCCAGTGTGACAGCTAGCCAGCTGAAATGCAGGGTAGCCTGGAGTGCTCAGCCAATACACAATACACCTCATGGGCTGGGGCTGGCTGTCCTGGTGAGAGTTATTTCTGAGGTAAAAAAAGTAATTTCTTATTGCATTGGAGAAAGCAATTTGCTGAGCAGGGAAGGAGTCCCACTGAAAGAGAATCCTGCTTTAGAATATCTAGGCTGGTAGGGCTTTTCTTCTGGGAACCAAAACTCCACATCAACAATCACCAAGACAAAGATTTAACATTAAATTAATTGGACAGAAAACCTAAATGAAATGGAAGTCAGCAACATGTAAAATACTGGTATAGTGTGCTTATGAAAATAACACAAGGAGGGGTTGTACTGTATAAAAAATGTACAGTGTATATGTTATTTACATAAAAAACACCATATTTCTAACTAACTCTTCCTACCAAAACTAGTAGCTTTGTTATATCAAAATGGGTATTGAATTTTGTCTTATTTTTCCCATATGAGTTGAGGTGATCAAATGATTTTGCTCCTTCTTTTCTTAATTTGTAAATTACAGTAATTTGTTAGTATTGAACCATTCTTGCATTGGGACAAACAATTTGATTTTGGCTGTAATCTGTTAATTCATTCTCTTTTTATATGTTACTCCTTATAATTTGCATATTGTGAATTTTGTTTCTTTGTAGGTACGCATAGCTGCTAAATTCATCACTCATGCACCTCCAGGAGAATTCAATGAAGTGTTTAATGGTGAGTAAAGATTAACATTGTTATTTTAAGCCCTCTTTAATCATTGTCATTTATTCCCTGCTTGCTATCTCCTGATTCTTACAACTAAAATTATAGCTGAGGAAATCAAGATATAAAGAGGTTAAAATAACTCATCGAAAGTCACACAGCTACTGAGTGCCAACAAGGATTCAAATTTAGGTTTGAGTCAAATGCATGCTCTTAACCCATATGTTAGGATATAGGTCTAATATGAAAACATATTTAAGATAGTTTAATACCAATAAGGAGCTCTGGTAGCATAGTGCCTAAGGCACTTGACTGCTAACCAGAAGACTGGCGGTTCAAACCCAGCAACCACTCCTCAGAAGGAAGGTTGGGCAATCTACTTCTGTAGTGATACTGCCTCAGAAACCCAGGGAGGGGTCGCTATGAGTCGGGTCTGACTCGATGGCACCTAACAACAGCAATACCAATAAATAGGAAAATCTCAACTCTCTGATTTACCTGAGGTAGATACACTCCTTGGAGAAAACAATCGTGGGAGAAAGAAGGGCTGTTTATGTACAGGGAGACAGCTCAGGGGGCAAGAGTGCATGGAAGAATGAATACAGGGAAGAGGTAACTATCAGGAGGAAGTGGCAGGGGAACTGTTGCATTGTGGTAAATTGTAGGCAGTATCATGAGACAAAGTGTTTATGAACTGCTGTATGGAAAGTGAATTTGCTCTGTAAATTTTCACCCAAATCACAATTAAAAAAAAAAAATCATTTTACAAAAAAAAAAAAAAAAAATATCTCAATTCTCACTGTCGTCTAGTCGATTTGACTCATAGTGACCCCTCCTTGGGTTTCTGAGGCGGGTGCTCAGGTGTTGTAGTGCCTAAGGCATTTGACTGCTAACCAGAAGGCTGGTTGTTCAAATCTGCCAGCCACTCCTCAGAAGGAAGGTTGGGCAATCTACTTCCATAGTAATACTGCCTCAGAAACCCAAGGAGGGGTCACTATGAGTCGGATCCCACTCCACGGCAGTGTCTTGCTTTTGTTGCATTATCTCTACCACCAGAGCTCCCAAATATGGAAATACAAGGTTGTTTAATATCAATAAATGTAACAGCAATATTGTAGTGTAATTATTACATTGTTTTTATAATTCTGTATTTATCATTATAAATTATAGTTTTAAGTTCTTCAGGAAGTGCCATAGGATAAATCACCTTCTAGGGACATTGGGGAGTCCCTTGGTGGTGCAAACAATTAATGAGCTCAGCTGCTAACTGAAAGGTTAGAGGTTCAAGTCCACCCAGAGGCACATTAGAAGAAAGGCCTGGCAATCTACTTTCTAAAAACCAGCCATTGAAAAACCCTGTGGGACACAGTTCTACTCTGATACACGTGGAGTCGTCATGAGTACAAATCAACTTGACACCAATTGGTTTTAGGGCCATTGGAGCTAACTGATTACATCAGAATAACCTGGGAAGCTTGTAAATATATAGACTCCAGTGTTACTATCCCAAAATTCTCATTAGTTAGATATCAAGTGGAACTGGATAATCGTGCTTTATCAAGTTCTCCCAGATGATTCTGAATCACAGCCAGTTTGAGAACCACTGCGCCAGTACATTTACAATCTTCCATGCTATTCATTATCTCAGGCTGAAAAATGTAGATGGGCATCTTGAACTTCATGAGGAGATAAATCATTATAATCCCATTTTAAGCCATCAAATTAATTCATTTTGAAGTTCTCCTTGATTTAAAATCTTTCTCTTAATTTAATAAAAATAGTTTTTGTGCAACCAGTTTCAGTTTAGCAAACCTTTATTTTGTAATTCTGGTTTTACAGTAGAAGGTTAACTACTTGTTAGAAACTATCTGGTATTTAACTGTGCCTGGCCCATAGGCCCACACATGTAGAACAATTGGTAATCTCCACTGGTAAAATTAATGATGCAGAGGAAGAATAACAATGAGAAATGTTTGAACATCTCCAAGGAATAAGTTGGTTGGTACAGTAGAAGTAAATCAAGGCATTCTTCTTTATGGAATTGCTTGTGGATTCTGAGAACTATAGCAAGAGAAACACATGCAGCATTTCTTTCCCTAGTTTTTCTTCCACATTCACCAAACATAAATTTTCAACAACTGCTGTTAGAAAATATACTTAAACTTGGACTTTATTCAGCTGATAAGCTCAGGTAAATTCTTGACTAAAATTAACTTCCTTTTAGTTAGAAGTCTCTTGTTTTCTTTCTGACTGCTGAACGTACTTAATAGGAGTATCATAAGAATAATTAATACCAAAGCATTAAATAAGGAATTGGCAGACTACTTACTTGGGGCGTGAGGGCTGGGTTTTATTGTCATGCTAGACATTTGTCACTGTCAGGCCCTTCTAGAATCTCTGAGAGTCCATGGCCTTTGGCTTATAATTAGCCTTCCCTCTTGGAGTTGATGCTTAGCAGTTTCTCAGTAACAGGGATCCTCTTCTTCCAAAAGAAAGGTGATTAGACTTAGAACACACAGTTTTTTAAGAAGGTTATAGACTCTTGCAGTAGATTCTACAAAGAAAAATGTGTTCAGCTATTTTTGAAGATTTCTTAGTCTAATGTAGAAAAGTTTGCAATTCTTAATCTATGCTAATTTTAAAGGTTTCTTTAGGTACAAAATTAATAACCCTAGCATTCTATAAACTGTTTTTCATTTGCTATAAAATTTCTTGAGAATTTATTGTTATAGCATAATCATATGCAAATCTATGAATATTACCAAACCAAACTCACTGCCATTGAGTTGGATCTGACTCATCATGACCCCTCCTTGGGTTCCTGAGTCAGTATCACTATGGAAGTATGTGTTTATTTGCATTTTTTAAATTTGTACATATATAGTGTAGTCAAAGTACATTATTAACAAAGCCTGATTTTTAAAAATCTAATCTAGAGGTCTACTAAAATTTCTGAAATCTGTCCTCTTCTGAACCTGTCAACATCTTTTAACATCTTTTTAACATCCTTTTTTCTCTTCAGATGTCCGACTACTACTTAATAATGACAATCTCCTCAGGGAAGGGGCAGCACAGTAAGTACCTGTTTAAATTCATTTACATGTTACTCTAATATGCCGTGAACTATGTCAACAGTAAACTAAACCAAAAACTCCAAACTCACTGCCATTGAGTCAGATCTGACTCATAGTGACCCCTCCTTGGGTTTCCAAGTTAGTATCACAATGGAAGTAGATTGCCCAATCTTCCTTCCGAGGAGTGGCTGGTGGATTTGAACCGGCAGCCTTCTGGTTAGCAGTCAAATGCCCTAGGCACTATGCTACCAGAGCTAGTACCTTGAAAACTAGGTTTAAAATACTTTTAAGTAACACATTATTTTTAGCAGTTTTAGTTGCTTTTTTCTTGGAAAAAATTTATGTCCCCAAAATTATTATTTCCTCAAAGCTTGTTATGTATAATCTTACATATTTTTATTTCTCTCCAACTATTCCCCATTTATGTGAGAAGAGTTGAATGTAAGCTATTATATTTTCTTTTATAGTTATTTTAGTTCATGTTGATTTTTTTTTTAAAGTCATTAGTTATACAGACATTAGGCTGCTGTTGAGGAATGATAATGTGTTTCAAATTGCTGAAGGACAGATATTGCAGAAAGTACCTTAATAGTTGGATTAGCTATAGGATAAAAGTATGATTATTCTATCCAATTATTTACTCTTTATCACCATCAGGCTAATTGTTACTCTTTCTAAAATACCATTTTCATTTTGTCCTTGCACTCAAAAACATTATGGTGATTCTTTTTTAAAATTCTTCGAATGTAAACACTGCCCAGCTTTCAAAGCCCTCTGTTAGCTGGCTTTATTCCTACCTCCCTGTTTGTATTTCTTTCTGCTCTTCAACACAGACTTCTGTTTTAGTAACTGTCTACCAAACTGGCCCAGAGTTACTTTGTAAAGAGGAAAGTAGAGTTGTATAATGGTTGCAAAGGGGAGGAGCAGGAAGAAGGGATGAGGACCTCTTGATACAGGACAACAAAAATTATCATAAAGGCATTTCATATGACATATAATTGATTTGTTTAGATTTTAGCTATAGAAAAACAGGAAGAGATGCTGCCTGGGAAACAACCATCTTTGCTGCTTTTTTTGGAATTCGTTTTGAGCCTAGATTTTTTTGCATAGCATTGCTGTAATCGTCATCAGGAATGATGCCCTGATTATATATTAATTTAGGAAAGCTGGGTGCACACTAAAGGTACACTATAATAATGGTTTCTCTTTGTGTCATAGAGGGTGCAGTGGTGGTCTCCCTATGAGAGATCCAGGTTTGATTACTAACTAGTGCACTTCCTGAGCCACCGCTCATCTTTCTCTGGAGGCTTGCATGTTGCTTTGATGCATGTAACTAACATTAGTATTTTTGTTTTATTATTACCAATTAACAGTGTACCTACAGAAGTGATGGAAATAAAAATCCCATATATTTATACTTCTGCGAAAAAAAAAAAAGTAGTGATTTAACAAGTATTTAATAGGCTAAAATTGGGCCGGATAGATGTTTAACTCTTTCCTTGGCAAGTTAATTCTGTCAGAAGACTGTTACTTTCCAAGAATACAAATGTATTATGCTTGCTTAGATTGTAACTTATTTTTATCTGTACCTTATTATTATTATTTTTTTTTTACTTTAGCTTACTTTGTAGCATGTCCTAGGGAGCCAATCAAAATGCAGAATTTCATAAATCAAGCACTGAATAAATAAGTAAATGGTAATATTAGGCATGTACTATGATTACTTATTCATACCCTCTTCTCTTTTCTGACTTCTACTCTGTGCCTTAGACCCTACTCTAGATTTAAACTCATGCCCAACTCTCACTTCACCTGCTCCGCATGTCATATGCCTTCCAGGACATGTAATTATTTTATGTAGTACCTTGGCCTGCCTCATAGAATAAAGATAAAAAAGACATTTGCAAAATAAGCTGTCATTTAAAGTTTCTTTTGAATTTCTGAAAGTTTCTATGTAAATGATTAAAACTGTTGGCACTTCACAATAATCTGGTTGCTTTAGAACTTAGAAATTGTGTATGTGGGAGCTCTGTTGGAGCTTAGGAATGGAGAAATAAAGGTAATTTAAAAGCTTAGGGTACTCTTGAGATCTCTGTGCAGAAGAATCTTGTTCAGAAAGCTAAAATGTTAAGATAATAGACATCTGGGGCAGAGGGAGGAAAGCACCAGGCAATGTCTTCACATTTCCTTTCACTGGTTTGTGAACTATCTTTTGTGTTTGTTTATATATAATTCTTTTCTCTCCTTCTCACTGCCTTTTTCTTTTTCACTTTTTAAAAAACAGTGCATTTGCGCAATATAACATGGATCAGTTCACACCTGTGAAGATAGAGGGATATGAAGATCAGGTAATAATTGTTCCTGTTAAGTAGGCTATTCCTGGCAGGCAGTAAAAATCCTAGAAACCAAAGCAGCTGTCTGAAAATCAGATGCTGAATAAATTCATTTCTTAGTTTTTGTAATTTTTGCAAATATTCTGTATAATTAAGAGATATTTCCTCTTTCTGATAATACTGATAGGTTCTTTGACAAGAAAGGAGAACTACTGCCAATGAGAATAGTGAAAATAAAAGAAATTGAGTCTATAGGCTTTCCTGCTGTTTCTAATTCTGCTTGTAAGAATAATAAGAAACATTTAATTTAATAATAAGAATTTAATTTAATAATAAGAAACAGAGGACTTCTGATTGAAAAATGGGAGCAGGCAAATATTCTCATTATTTACCATAGTTATTTACAAATAAATACATTAACATATGCTTCAAAGGCCATATGGCACTATGTACCATTACCTCTTAAAAGACTGAATCTCCTTTGAACTGACAAGTCCACAGAATTCGACCTAGGGAAATAATTGTATGCGTGTGCAAAAAGATTATTCAAAGCAAAGTTTATAATAGTCACTGGAAACAATCTAAATGTCCAGTGCTATTATTTAACTATCTAGAGATCAGAATACTCAGCAGTCATTGAAAACTGATACAGGTAGGTATTTTTTGATCTGAGAAGATGTTCATGATACATTAAACCTAAAAATTATAAAGCAACCTACATAGAATTATGCCAATTTTATTTAGAAAATATTTAGATGAACAGATATACAGTATCTGTGCATCTTGAATTGTATAAAAGGGGCACAGTTATTTTATGTACCAGTAAAAGAAAAAACAATGCCAATTTTTAAACGCCAACTCAGTTCTAAGATGTCACCAAGTATAGGATGCATTCCACTTTCTGGAATGTTAAATCATGTAGGAAATAGGCATCTTCAGAGTTGAAGAAATAAAATTTATAGATGTGCATAGAAAAAAAAAGATTGGGAAAATATATATCAAATGTATGTGTTGGAATTACAAGATTACTAGAATTTGTTTTATTTGTTGTTTTTTCTTTTGTTAGTTAATATCTAAATTTTCTCAATGAAAATAGGTTAACTACAAACATGGAAAGCAAAAAATCTCAAAAACAAGTGGTAAATACTGCTTGCAGTTTATATTGTATACTTTAATAATACAGAAGAATTATTGAAAGAGAAGATCTGTTCCAAGTACATTATATGAGAAATGTGCTAACTTTGTCAGCATTCCCAATATACCAGGAATATCTAGCTTAAAAATGTAGCCAAAGGTGCTTACATTGTTTGCAGTAACCAAAAAAAAAGGCATTACCTGAATGAGACATAAGGAAAAAGATAAAGATATATTGAAACATTAGGTATTAAAGTAGATACCTTCACTGCATATAACAACAACAGAAACCTATAGTGAGTTAACTAAATAGAAATTTTATTTTTTTCCACATAAAGAGTATAGAGGTGATATTTAGGGCTATTAACAGCAGCTCTGTGATACCAGAGACCCAAGTTGTTTGTAGCTATCTATTCTGCAATACTTAGGGTATGATTTTCACTATCATACTTTCAAGATGGCTGCTTCATCTGTAGGCATTGAGTCCATGTTCCGGAAAGGAAGAAGGGAGAAAGTACAGAACATATGCTACCACCTGTTCCAGAAACAGCTTCCACTGATAGTTGTTGCCAGCTGGGAAGGATAATATTTTATTTGAGTGTGTGGTTCAGTTAATAAGAAAAAAGATAGATAATGAATAAACTAGCAGAGTCTGCCACAAAGTTCATATATACTCAAACACACACATACATTAATCAGAATTTTTGTTGTGTTGTTATGTGCCATCAAGTTGGACCTGACTCATAGCTACCCCTACTTGGGTTTCCAAGGCAGTATCACTATGGAAGATTGCCCCATCTTTCATCTGAGGAGTGGCTGGTGAGTTTGAACCTCCAGCCTTCTGGTTAGCAGTAATGTGCCTTGGCACTATGCTACCAGAGCTCCTCATTAATCAGAGAGAGAAATGAAAAATTAAATAGCTTTATAATGCCACAGTTCTGAGTAAGAAATATAAATAATAGAAATGCTTGTCTGAATAAGTAATATAAGTGATGTAGGAAAGTTTATCAAATAGATTTCATACAAGTTTTTAAGAAAATCGTAGCAGGCCATAAAGGATTATTCTGATCAAGAACAATGAAGGAAGATCAATGGTAGCAAGCATAAAAACATAAAGCAACAGTCATATACTATGACATCAGTATTGTGAAGTCATTTGCAATTATTAAAAATGATAAATGTGTTAAAAGACAAATGATAAATTTAGGGGAAGATATGTGGAATTCAAAACACACGCTAAGTTTATTTCCTTAATAAATAAAGAAAAAGACCAAAAACCTGGTACAAAAAAAGGGTCAAAAGATAAGAACAGTTCAGAGAATAAGAAATATAAATGATTTTAAAAATATGAAGTTGCACATTATGAATGTAATCAGTGCCACTGAATTATACACTTAAAAATGGTTAAAATGGTAAATTTTATGTTATACATATTTTCAACCATAATAAAATTATTTTTAAAAGATGAGAAGAAACGCCAGTTAAAATTTCTAATAATGATGCATTGCCTAATAAATTGATATATATCCTATGCTAAAGGACAATTTGTTATTCTCTGTCACAATTACAGATGCATTTTACCCTTTGACCCAGCTGTCCCACTTTAGGAAGTTTTTCTGACAGATGTACCAGCATGTATGCAGAAAGATGAATATAAAAGGACATTTGTTGCAATATTGTTCATAGTAGCAAAAGATTGGAAACAATCCAACCATCCATTAGTAGGAATCTGGTTGAATATAGTTTTGTATATCTATACAATGGAGTATTATATAGCTATGATAAAAAAACAAAGAAGTTCTTCCGTGACTACTAATATGGAAAGATCTTCTAGATACATTAGTTTAAAAAAAAGTGCAAAGTGTAGTACAGTGTGGTAATTTTGTGTTTAAGTGATGGAGAATTGGAATACACATTTATATTTGTTTATATTTTTCAAAAAGAAACCTGATAGAATACTCTAAATCAGAGATTGGTAAACTTTTTCTATAAAGGGCTAGATAGTAAATGTTTTCAACTTGACAGAATACTGGATCTCTGCTGCACCTACTCAACTCTGATGTTGTAGTGGGAGAATAGCAATTAATGCAGAAATGAACAAGCAGGGCTATATTCCAATAAAACTTTATTTACAAAAATTGACGGCATCTGTATGCAGATTGACAGTTCCTGCTCTAAATTAATAAAACTGATTACCTTGTGGGAACAGGAAAAGTTTATTAGGAATTGGATGGATGGGAGATTGAGAAAGAGATACTTCACCTTTCGTGTGTGTGTGTGTGTGTGTACACACATGTGTATTACCATGTAAATGTATTACCTATTTAAATGCTAGATATGACTGAAAAGTTTCACAGGATAAGTGAAAAAAGTAGAATGTACAAATTTACATATGCATTCTAGCTGTGTAATAAGGTATATACATAAATATATTAGAAGAAAACCAAGAAATGAAGGGTATTGTTAGGATAGAGGAAATTTTGCAGTTTAAAGTAAATTTAATGCTTTCTCTTAGAATAAAAATGGGACTTGGTTGATACAGCAATATGAAAGAGAAATCTGAGAAAATGAGAAGTTAGTTGTTTTTTTCAGAATTTTTGTTTGTTTTCACAAATGGGATAAGCAGCACTAAACTTTGTTTTTTTTACAGAGTTACTCATAATTGTAATTATTCTTTGGAAGGTCTTAATTACAGAACACGGTGACCTGGGTAATAGCAGATTTTTAGATCCAAGAAACAAAATTTCCTTTAAATTTGATCACTTACGGAAAGAAGCAAGTGATCCCCAACCAGAGGAAGTAGATGGAGGCCTCAAGTCTTGGAGAGAATCCTGTGACAGTGCTTTAAGGGCTTATGTGAAAGATCATTATTCCAACGGCTTCTGTACTGTTAAGTACCTGCTTCATTGTCAGAGAATGTTTTGTTTTTTATATTTACCTTTTTCTTTTGTGTCTTTGGTCACTTAGGTGTGATCTCTTCTGTATTTTATTTCCTAAATCATTTTTGAAAAGGATATAAATGGGAAATTTCATGTGGAAAATATATATTAAAAAAAAATCCTAATGCAAAACAAGAAAAACCAATGCATAAATTTTGAAAATTGTCAATGTAGTCTACTTTACATTTTTAGATTTGCTTGCCTGAAATTGCCCTTAACTCATCAAAAAAAAGTTTTTAAAGGTCTGTAGCTTAGACATAGAGAAAAAATGCTAAATTCAGATTATTGGAGGAGCCAAATACTTTACGAAACTGCTCTGTGAGATTACTAATGGTTCCTGAATTGCCTGATCCCAGTGTACTTTTCTTGATCCTTGACTTCTGTATGGCATTTCACACTGAGGCAAATTATCTTTTGCTTTGGCTGCTGTGCCAGCACCCTCTAATTACTCTTAACTCTGTGCACTCATTCCTTTTCTCCTCCCTGCCTTTGTAAAATACAGGCATTCCTCAGTACCACATTCTTCTCTAGCATTTCTCTCTCTTGAAAGCTCATAATCCATTTCTGTATGTATTTGGTATTAGAATGCATAATTTGATGTCAGAAGAGAAAGGAGTTTGGGTTCTGCCTTCACCGTTTACCTTCTCAGTGACCTTGGGCAACTCAGTCAACCTCTTGTGAGCTTTACCTTCATCATCTGTAGATAACAACAGTGTGTTTCACCATATTGATTAGAGCAAAAAGAAGATACGGGTGGAAACACATTTTGTGAATTATTAAGCACTGTTCTTTTTTTTTTTATTGTGATTTGGGTGAAAGTTTACAGAGCATATTCACTTTCCATACAGCAGTTTACACACACATTGTCTCATGACATTGGCTACAATTTACCCCAGTGCAACAGCTCCCCTCCCACTTCCTCCAGATAGTTACCTCTTCACCTCTTCCCTGTGTCCATCCCTCCATGCACTCCTACTGCCTGAACTGTTTCCCTGTGCATAAACAGCCCTTCTTTCTCCCATGATTGTTCTCTCCAAGGAATGTATCTACCTAATGAACATGTTCAACTCTTACGCCTGTCTTTTGTTTGGCTGGAAGCCACAGGTGTGGGTTTAATTCCAGACCTGAAGGGCAGCTAGGGACCATAGTCTCAGTGGTTCCACCAGGCTCTATCAGACCAGCAAACCTGGTCCCCTTTTTTTTTTGTTTTTCTTTTCCAAATGATTTTGAGTTTTGTTCCACATTGTTCTCCCTCTCTATCCAGAATCTCTTACATAGATCTCCCTCCGAGTAATTGACAGTGGTAGCCGGGCGCCATGTAGTTCTTCTGGTCTCATAGTTGTATAGGCTGAGGATCGCATGGTATACCAGTCGCTAGCACTGATTATTTGCATGAATCTTTGGTTTTTTTCTTTGCTCTGGATGAGGAGAAACCCACTGTTCTCAGCATCTAGATGGCTGCTTGCAAGCTTTTAAGATCCCAGTCGCTACTCGCCAAAGTAGGAGGTGGAACAGTGTTTTGTGTTGTATGTTATGCCAATTGAGCTTGATGTCCCCTGCGACTATGGTCCCGAGCCCACAGGTTCAACTACTCAGTCCCTCTGGGTAGCTGGCTGTGACCAAGAAGTGACTACAACCTTGTCCTTTGTCAGCTCTACCATACCCCTGGGAATTCTTACAGAACATGCAAATACACTTGTAGAACCATTGTCTGCCAATCCTATACATGGTCTTGGGTACACTCCCTGCTGCATAGACATACCTAATAGTTTAGCCTGTCCACCCACGTCTCCACCTATATACCCGTTTGCCATCACTGACAATGCAGTACTGTATGTAAGCACTGTTTTCTTTGCTTTCTCTTGGTGATCACATTTCAATTTATATTTCTCTTTCTCATGTTGAAGAACAGTAGGTGTTTCTAATTACTTGCTGGACATCTCCATTTGAATTTCCTGAATTGTTAATGTTACTACTATATTTCTAGTCATGCAAATGTACAGTCACTTAAGTTTTTTTTTGCCTTTTATTTGTAATAATACACTGCTAGAGTTTGGTTGTACTTGTGCATCCTGTATGTGACCCCTCCTTTACATCCCTATTGATCACTAACCCTAGCTTATTGTCTAGACTAAATCTGTGGTGACCTAAACAGTCTCCAGTTTTCCTTCCATTTTAACATGCACACCAATATATGACATTCTCCCCAAATAATAGTTCTGGTCGTGTTGTTTTGATGTCTTTCCATTGCCTGTAGAATAAAGTCCAAACTTTTTAGATCTATTGTCTGACCTAAATATACCATCCTGTTATATCTCTCATCAGTCCTTTTGACACATATACTCTGACCTGACAGACTTAATTGTCAGTCACTGAGCAAACCCTCAGTTTCCTGCCTATTTTCTCATTTTTATTCTCAGTCTCTGATTTTCAGAATATCATTTGTCTTGTAAGGCCTAGCGTAAATAACACCTCCTTTTTACGCTAAATGAGGAGTAATATATAGTGTCTGTAGTTATTTAGATTAAATGTGTTTTCAGAGTCTAACTTTTTTTTTTTTTTTTTTGACAATAGGTTTATGCTAAAACTATAGATGGGCAACAGACTATTATTGCATGTATTGAAAGCCACCAGTTTCAACCTAAAAACTTCTGGTAAGAAAGTAGAGGTTCTCTTCTATTTGTATCTAGTTTTTTTTTTTACTGGAAAGAAACCACCAAACAGGCGGTTGAGATTTGTTTTTTAATCTAACTAGCTTGGGATAAGTTATTTGACTTAAAGGCTTCAGTTTCCGTCTATAAAATGAGGTACATTAGACATGATCATTTAGATCCCTCCCAATTCTAAGACTATAATCTATCTTTTTTAAAAGTTTTCTCATTTTGAATGAGATTAAGGGATTAATAAAGTACCCAGTTGAAGCCTGAATTTTACTTGGGTTGGGTTTAATAATACTTGAGTTAATTGCATAACTTACTGACCCATCCTTCTGTTTGTGGAAGGACTTCCTATGAATCAAATAGGTATAGTTTTCTACTTAAGAAAAAACTGGAAATATGAAAGTCAGAGTAACTTAGAGAAGGCTTAGTTTAGGCGACTTAGATCAAAACTTGTATTTGAGTGGGTAGATTCTTGGATTTGTCAAGCTGAAAATTACTTGTTGCTTTTTCACCTCTTTCCCAGCTCCTTTACCTCGGTGGCAGATGACCTATTTCTTGTGCTTGTTGCTAATTCTGCAGTATTGTGTGTGTGTGTGTGTGTGTGTATTTTAATAGGAATGGTCGTTGGCGATCAGAGTGGAAGTTCACCGTCACGCCACCAACAGCTCAAGTGGTTGGAGTGCTTAAGATTCAGGTGAGGTCCCAACATGTTAATAGGCCGTTGTTAAAAAGCCTTATCTTCAAACATGACTGCAAGTTGTTTTTCTGCTGGTGTTAGAAGTCATGACCTCCTGTATGTACATGGAAGGAGCTCGGGTGGTGCAGTGGTTTAACACTTGGCTGATGACTAAAAGGTTGGCAGTTTGGACCCACCAGCCACTCTGCAGGACAAGGATATGGCAGTCCGCTCCTGTAAAGATTATAGCCTTAAAAATCCTATGGGGTAGTTCTGCTCTGTCCTTTTGGGTTGCTGTGAGTAGGAATTGACTTGACGGTGATGGCATTAGGTTTGTTTTTTGGTTTTACATGTACACGGAAAGCAAAATAGTTATCAGTGAATAGAAGAAAAAGTCTCTTTCCTAGGTTTCTGAGGCGGTGTCTCTTTGGAAGTAGATTGGCCAGTCTTCCTTCTAAGGAGTGGCTGGTAGGTTTGAACCACCAGCCTTCTGATTAGCAGTCAAATGCCTTAGGCACTATACCACCAGAGCTCCCCTCTTTCCTGGGAAAGTAGTTAATCAGAGAGAGCTGTTGATAAAGTATAGTCATATGGAGTATACTGCTTGCTTACTATACTTTCTCTAGTCTAGCTCTTTGCAAGTGAAAAAGAGATAACCTAAGAACTTTCCAGGAATTATCAGACAGCATTGTTAGGAAAGAAGAAAATAATTATTAAGAGATTACTATGTAGCAGCTGAGATGTAGTGGGTAAGGTTCAGCTGCTAACCAGAAGGTTGGAGGTTCAAACCCACCAGCTCCTCCACAGGAGGAAGATGAGGCACTCTGCTTCCCTAAAGATTTACAGCCTTGGAAACCCAGCAGGGGTCACTGTGACTCAGAATCGACTTGATGGGTGTTTTCATACAGCAGCTAAGTGTTTTACATATATGTTGTTGTTGTTGTTGTGGTTATGTGCCGTTGAGTCGGCCCCGACTCATAGCGACCCCTCCTTGGGTTTCCGAGGCAGTATCACTACGGAAGTAGGATTGCCCAACCTTCCTTCCGTGGAGTGGCTATGTATATGTGTGTGTGTGTGTGTGTGTATATGTATATATATATATATATATTTATCACTGTGGTGACACAGTTTTAAGTGCACGCCTGCTAACCAAAAGTTTGGCAGTTCAGACCTCCCAGTTGCTCCATGGGAACAATCTGCTGCCTTAAAAGTTACAGCCTTAGAAACCCTATTGAGCAGTTCTACTCAGTCCTGTAGGGTCACTATGAGTCAGAATGGACTCAATGGCAATGGGTATTTTGTTTTGTTTTTTATATAGCAGGTAGGAGATCCTTGGGTGTGCAGATAGATGGTTTGCACTAGGCTCCTAATTGAAAGGTCAATGGTTTGAACCCACCCAGTGGCACCATAGAAGCAATCTGTCTCTGTAATATTATAGCCAAGAAAACTCTATGGAACAGTTCTACTCAATATTGCATAGGTTCACCATGAGTTGGAATTGACTTGATGGCAGTGGGTTTGGTTTTGGTATATAGCAACTGCTGTAGCTTAGGCTGTGTGTGTGTGCGCGTGTTTGTGCGTGTGTTTAGCTCTTAACTGAAAAAAAAACTACCTGAATAGGTTTTTTTTTTTTTCCCCAATGATGACAACCTTTAAAATTAAATGCATAAAACAGAGGAACTAGAGAAAATAGCCAAGTGTCATCAGTTTATAGAATCAGAAGGAAGGTTGGGCAATCTACTTCCGTAGTGATACCGCCTCGGAAAACCAAGGAGGGACCGCTATGAGTCGAGTCCGACTCCACGGCACATAACAACAACAGCGTACATATATAAAGTCCAGCAGAATAGATTACTAATGTTCATGTCAGGAAAGCCTGGCAGATGAATAAAGTAACTGTAACACATTTGATAGTTACCCGGATTGAAGTCTTCTAATAGTAGAGGTTTGACTTAAAAAATTTAGGGTGATTTAATTCTTAAGCTAGACTAAATCTAAAGTTAGATTAAACAGTTACTGGTAAAGGAGATAGTACCTAAGTTTACCAATATTATATTTTATCATCTTGTTTTAAAAATCACAATTTGTTGTCTTTTTAAGTGGAATAATTTTACCAAAAAAATGAATGTAGTAGTTACTGTCTGCACTCACTGTTTCCATACACACTTTTAACTTCTACTACAGGCTATTGTATCTCTCTTCTTGAATGCTTTTCCTGGCTACAAGGGCCTGCCCAACTCTTAGATGAGGCACATTGGAAGTACTGAGTTCACAGCTTTGGGAACAGCCCTCAGTAACATACAAGAGTTGGTAGAGAAAGATGTCACTTCCTCATATGGCACACAACTCTGAAGCATGTTCTTCTTAGTCTTCAGAGATCCCCAGTGCTCACAACTATAACCTGCTTGTTAATGCACTTGTAACACTTCTTCCCTTCTGTGTCTCACTTCCTTGGTCCCCTACTAGAGCTTCCTGAGACTACTTCCCACATAAACTACTTACCCTCAAATATTTAACTTGAGGTGTACTTTGGGGGAGCCTAACTTAAGACAGCATATTGTTCTATCTCTGTTAACTATATCCATGAATAACCTAACACTTTAAATCTCTCTTGTAACTGTGGCATCAGCATTCACCTGACTTAATTCTTCATTTGTATAAATAAATTAATTTTCCTTCTGGAAGGAAATAATTATTTGTGTTTTTTGTTTTGCCAATGCAAACCTATAAAGTAATGGTACACATCACAAAGGGTGTTATGTTATCCTTTTATACCAGATTCCAATGCCTAGACCCTTGTTTAGATCTTTTAAGCACAGATTATCTCTTCATACTTTTGAGAAGGGTTGGCTTCACTTACATATATTTTAAAAATCAGAGTGAGAATTATTTGGAAAAGTCATAAGATATATAAGTTTAAGTTTAATTTCTAAAAAATATATAATGAGTATATTAGGAAATGAAATAGATATTTTTAGAGTTTTCAATTGCAATCCTATCCATGTCATAAGAAATGTGACAGAAGTTGAACTAATTGCATAGTATTTATTCTTGGACAAAGAGAATGTGTCCACCATACCTTCTTCTTTCAGATGAGTTCTGAGAAGTATTTAAATCCCTCTTTCTTTTCTAGTTAGATCTCCATTTGTTAATATCCCCATTCTATTTGTACCCATTCCTCTTCCTAGTGTTGTTTTTAGCCTCTGGATTTCAGGTTAGCTGCCATTGGATAAAATAAACAAAATGAGTGTGCAGTGTGATCCATCCTGTATTTTGAATATTCTTGTCCTTGTCTGTTGGGATTGTAGCCTTTATATGTTGTCATTGTTTGGCCCGGTCTTTTTTGCCTAAATATTTGCTGTTTTGATTTTTGCGTTTAAGTATTATAGGTGCTTCTGACCTCTCTGCTTCTCCAGTGTATTCTTAGATTGTCTGTCTTTCCTCTTTAACCCCTTTTAGAAAGCCAGAAGATAAAATTTAAGCATTTGGAGAGCTTATGGAAATTCTAGCTACTCTTGCCCATTTGGACAGAGCCAGGTATTTGTCCGCACTAAGGAAGATACCTGTGTTCATCCCTTAAACAAGGTTCATGTTGCCCAGGGAAGTCCTTTTGCTGCTAATAGTATTATCATTTCTATCTAGATGAAGCTTGACTTTTAGTTATCCTCTTCTAATGATGTTCCAAAAGAGGAAGGCCCTAGGGGGATACTTTAATTTCACCTGGATCACGTAATTTCCAACTTTTTGAAAAAATACAGCATTGAGGTATACACATGGTTAATAAGGTTCCAGCTCTGAAATTTGATCTGATTCAAATCCTATCTCTTTCTCTTCCTAGGTATGTGAACATAGATAAGTTATTAAATTGCCTCAAGCCTCAGTTTCCTCAGCTGTAAAGTAGGGTTAATACAGTGAAATCTGTGAGAGCCAGAACTCAAAGGGACTGCCTTGGTTTTCCACCTTTAACAGGGTATATGTAGTCTTACCACTTTTCTATCACTCGTTTTAGTAGAAAATATTCACATTTTCCTTCTCTGACAGGTTTCCACCTTACACAGGGTCAGTTTTCGCAGGTTTTACTGTGGTAGTACCTATCTCAATGAGTATTTGTGAAAATTAAAGGAGGTAACATAAGTAGTGGGAGCTCTGGTAGCATAGTGGCTAAGGCACTTGACTGCTAACCAGAAGGCTGGCGGTTCAAACCCACTGGCCACTCCTCGGAAGGAAGATGGGGCAATCTACTTCCGTAGTGATACTGCCTCGGAAACCCAAGGAGGGGTCACTATGAGTCGGGTCCGACTCGATGGCACATAACAACAACAACAACAACAACATAAGTAGTAAGTGAAGTGACTTGCATAGTGCCTAACACATAGTAAATACTTAGTAATAATTGTAGCAGTGCAGGTTCCACTTGTCTCCTAGTCTTTTCTGTTTTTTGTCTAAAAGCACTTCTATTTGTTCAAACATCTACTGGTTTTTACATAGTAAAACATCTACTGGTAATATGCTAATTTTGTAGTGGTATACATCTACTGGTAGTGTAGTCTATATGCAAGACACAGGCACTACCTATACTATTCTAGCATTCTGCCTCCAATTTCATATCTCTCCATTTCATCTTCTTCATACTACAAGTATAATCTTTCTAAAACATTCCCTACCTGAGTCCCCATCACCTATAATAGGATAAAGTCTGAATTTGTAACATGGTTTATAAGGCACTTTGCTCTTTATAGTCTGTTTCCAACTTCATAGTAATGTCTCCTTGCCATGCTCCCCTACACACATATTCATATACAGTGAGTTATTTTTTCTTTCCTAAACTAAACCAAGGGAGCTCTGGTAGCATAGTGCTTAACACGCTTGACTGCTAACCAGAAGGGTGGCGGTTCAAACCCATTAGCCACTCCTCAGAAGGAAGGTGGGGCAATCTACTTCCATAGTGATACTGCCTCGGAAACCCAGGGAGGAGTTGCTATGAGTCGGGTCCGACTCGACGGCACATAGCAACAACAACAGCAAACTAAACCAAAGGAGCTCAGGAGGTGCAGTGGTTAAAGCATCCAGCTGCTAAGTAAAAGGTTGGTGAACCCATCAGCTGCTGCATAGGAAAAAGATAAGGCAGTCTGCTTCCGTAAAGATTTATAGCCTTGGAAACCCTATGGGGCAGTTCTACCCTGTCCTATAGTGTCACTGTGAGCCAGAATCAACTCAGTGGCAGTGGTTTGGGGTGGGTTTTTTTTTTTTTGTAAACCAGTTGTTTTTTTTGTTTGTTTTATTTTTTTTTTACTCTTTTTATCTGCCTGCTAGATTCTCTTCTCTACATTGTCCACTTAGGTAACAACTCAGATTTTCAAGACCTGGTTTACATGCTCTTAACCCCAGGATTGTTGTTGTTACCATAGAGTCAATGCCAACTTTTGGTGACCCCATGTATCACAAAGTAGAATTGCTTTATCAGATTTCTTTGGTGATAATCTTAATGAAAGCAGATCACCAGAAATTTTCCTTTGTGGTGCTACTGGATGAGTTCAAACTGCCAAACCTGTAGGTTAGCAGTCAAGCACAAACTATTTGTACCACTCAGGAACCTAACAACAAAAAAAAGATAGCCTCATCCTATTTTGTATGGCCAGTTTGTAGTCATCTTAAGGTGACTAAACCTATCTTTTAAGTTGCCATAGTTTCCTGAGCCTTACATGTCATTGATTTGTTAGTCTCTTGTATACTCTTTCTTCTTGCTAATTTTTCTCATCATTATAGCACTCCCTTTTTCTTACATCTTCAGAGCTGCTTTTATTTATTTATTTTTGTAGTCTAGTTTACCACTAACGTATTTCTTTTCAATTTTGTCTTTACCCCCAATTAAGCTTTCCTTGTAGCTCATCGGATCTAGTTACCAATATTGATTGTATAGAGAGAGATAATGACAAGTATTAGGAATTCCCAAAACCAAGCCTATTGCCATCAAGTTGATTCTGAATCATAGCAATCCTATAGGAAAGGGAAGAACTGCCCCATAGGGTTTCCAAGGCTGTAATCTTTATGGAAGCAGACTGCCTCATCTTTCTCCCATGGAGTAGCTGATGGGTTTGAACTGCCAACTTTTAGGTTAGCAGTTGAGTGCTTAACCACTGTACCACCACAGTTCCTTTTTAGGAATTAAGACCCATCAAAACTCCTTTGTTTTCACAAAGAAAAATTAATGTTCAATGATTTGATTTTAATCATTTTAATACTGGTAATAGTGGGATATTTAATCTTTGTATTCTCAGAACCTAGCACAGTGCTTGAAATGTAATAAGCACTTAATGAATATTTGTTATTAATTAAAATTAATGATCAATTTGTTCTGCTAAGGAAAGAGAAAGCATTCTGTGAATTTTTATTACCATCATCATGGATTACCATTGATCATATTAATTAATAATTTGTTCAGAGTTGGTAAAGATTGGAAATGGCTTAAGATATGGATTTGTGCCCTAAGCAATAGATTTCTATATGGTCTACATATAAACTTGTTTAAACATTCTCTCATGCAGGTTCACTATTATGAAGATGGCAATGTTCAGTTGGTTAGTCATAAAGATGTACAGGATTCAGTAACTGTTTCGGTGAGTGTAGAATATTTGAAGTCTGTCTGACTTGTGCCTTGTTTTTCCTTAAAAAAAATTATTTCTGAGTTTGAGTAGTATTCTGCTGGTAGTAATTCAATTTGTTTTCAAGGTTTTGATTTTGGCAATTTTTACTAATAACTATTACTGTTATGTATATTAAATATATATACAGCCAACCAGCTGTATCAGTTCACAGCAGTCTTTGACTCAGAATAGTGATATGGCTTTAGAGAATAGAGACTTATTTCTCTTTCTCACTTGTGAAATTTGCTAATGAAAGCAAAAATATAAATAAATACCAGGAGGGGAAAATTTTGCCAAACTTAGTGCTATAGGACTGCATTCATAATATTAGAATTAAGAAACAGATTTAAGAGCATTCACTCAGAAAATGTTGTGTCGTATACCTTGAAAGAAGGGACATAATTATTCTTGGATTTTTTCTTGCATAGTCTCAGGACTTCTTCATACTCGTAAGAAGTTATTGAGGACCCCAAAGAGCTTTTGTTTATGTATTATATAGATATCAGTATTATTTTCCTTATGAGAAATTATAACTGAAAAATGTTAAAATTATCTAATTCCTTAAAAATAAGAGCAAACCTGTTGTTAATGTAAATAATATTTTTATTAAAAATGTCTATACTTTTCAAGTCAAAAATAAAAAAAAGGAATGAGAATGTCATAGATTTAGACTTTCATAAATCTGTTTATATCTGGCTTAATAAAAAACAGTTGAATTCTCATTTTGCTGTAGTCATTCCATTAGCCCTCAGAGTGATAGAGTCATCACATGTCATGTGGCTTTTGGGACACTGCATTGAGAGTGAGAATGAAAGATAAATGATATTTCAGGATTATAATGAAAATAGAAAATGATTTGTGATCTTACAGAGCCCCCTTGAAAGTTTTGGGGACTCTTGGAGTCCCTGTACCACACTTTATGAGATTTCTTCTTCTAGTCCTTAAATTTTATACTCTTACCTTCAGTTCTTTTGTACTTAATAGTGAAAGAAGGTCTTTCATTTTGTACCTAAATCATGTAAAGCAAAATGTGATTGGCTGATTTAGCATCGTAAGTGGCAAATAGAGGAGTGTATGTATATAAAGGATAGTCTAGGGGCATCATTAATACCTTAAACCAGAAATATTTTCAAGGCATTTTTATAATAAAGTCTTTTGGACATACTGTGATAGAATGTTTAAAGAGCATGAGGGGGTTTTTTTGTTTGTTTGTTTGTTTTGGCAAAGACCTGGATTTAGATCCGTTCTTCATCACTCAAAAACTGTATAATATTAGACAAGTCACTTAAGGAGATTCTGTTTTCTCATCTGCAAAATGGAGGTGATGATAATAACATACTTCCTCACAGAGTTGTTGTGAGGACCAGAGGAGGTAATGTATATGGAAACCCTTTGTAAACTATAAATTATTACACAAATGTTAGTATGGTGGACTGTCTTTTCTTCCTATTCTCTCCTTACACACTAAGCAAATATGTTTTCTTCTCCTTTCCCCTCCATTAGAATGAAGTCCAGACTGCCAAGGAGTTTATTAAAATCATAGAGCATGCAGAAAATGAGTATCAGGTAAGAAGATTCAGAACAGTTTTAATCTAGTACCTTATTTTGATCTTAACATCTTTTGATGATCTGTGTCCTTTAACATATTGTCCAGTGTTACTAACTGAAGATTTTGCAGAACTTACAAATTTATACTCCCATTATAATCAAGGTGTTAGTATTGGGCTAGTGGCCCTAATTTTAGAAATTATTTAGGTAGGCTTTTTTTAAAAAAAAAAAAAACTCCAGAGATTGGAGAGGAGCTCACTAGAAATTTTAAGTCTTATCTGTCCTTTGTAGGGGAATCAAGCATGTCCTTTGACTACATAGTTACTCTGCTATCCACAGTCAACCCCAATTTCTGTTTAATTATTTATTGCAGACAGCAATTAGTGAAAACTATCAAACAATGTCAGATACCACGTTCAAGGCCTTGCGCCGACAGCTTCCAGTTACTCGCACCAAAATCGACTGGAACAAGATACTCAGCTACAAGATTGGCAAAGAAATGCAGAATGCTTAAAGGCTGAATGTAAGATTCTTCAGTACGTGGGGGAAAAGAAAGGATTCAACATGTGGTCATATGATAAATAGGTGGTTTATAAACAAGAGTGATATTTTGCTAGGGCTTTCAGAGTAAACAGGTTTTCTAGCCTCATGGAATACTGTTGAACCTATAACATTGTCTGAATTCTTTTATGTTCTCTACTTTGTAATATTCTGTTGTCACTATATCTACTTGTAAATTTTTTCTTTTTTAAATTCCGTCACACTTAATGTTGAGGAGAGAGAGAGAGAGATCTATCTTGGGGTCATTTTACTGTTTAGAAAATTTTCTTAGCCATAAAAGCCCTGTTAGTGATACAGACAAGTCAATACTTTTTTACCCCTATTCTTCAAAGAACTTCTGGTACTTCAATGATTTTTATTAGTAGACCAACACCTGAAGAAGCTATGCTACAAACTATAACTAAATGGAAGACACATTCATCCTTCTTCCTCCAACTGCTTTGATCATCACTTAGGTCATCTCATAACTTTAGATTTCCAAATTTTGGATTGGGGCTTTTCACATCCTTTTTGAGGGGCAAAGGAAGTTTTCTGGAAATTCCATTATAACCAGCTTCTCTGGGGAAGTTGTTTTTAAATCCAAAGACTTGAACCACATTCCCTGCACATGATCGTGTTTGCTTTTTTTTTTGTAATCCTTCCCTCATTGTCTCCTTTCCTGTCTAGTACCATTGTAGTTGTAGACATCTGCATTTTTAGAAGAGAGTACCCATTTATGGTTTTTTGTTTGTTTTGTTTTGTTTTAAAAAATCAAGAACTGCTGACATACTGTGGATGTAGTAGAGTATATATGAAACTTGAAAAATGCAGATGTTGAAGGAATAAGTATATTGTACTATAATACTTTGTGGCAGGATTGTAGTATAAGCAAATGAATCAAACAGCTATGTAAATCACAAAGAAAAACTAAAAATGAACCAAAGTGAGAAGGATAACTTCCAGGCAGTATCTTTCTATTGTAACCTGTAATTTAAGGGAATACTAGTGATTTGTTCTAAATAGGATGTAAAACTTGTTCCAAATTTTTCTTCTTCAGTCCTGCCTGCCAAAAACTCAAATGTAACTGTGATATAGCAACCGTTCCCAGGTATATTGGCAGGTATGTATGTTTGATCTCAGAACACACAGGTGACATGGATATGATAACTGGTAGTGGTGGACTCATTTACATTGTTTACACTTCTATGACCAGGCCTTAAGGGAAGGTCAGTTTTTTAAAAACCAAGTAGTGTCTTCCTACCTATCTCCAAATATATGTCAAAAAAGAAGGGTGTTTGTGTTTCAGCTTTGTTTGCTCAGTAATACAGTCAAGCAAGAGTGTTTCCAAGTGACCCATTCAGCTGTGTAAACATTTTTGTTTATTTCAAATAAAATATATTTGTATTATTTGTCATTCATACTATCCATCCATACCACAGTATCCTCTGTATCAGGTAGACCAATACAAATATACCTGTTTTGTTCTAAAACTTTCTGTGTCTCTCCTTTTTGATCCATTTCCTCAGCCTTTTTCCTAAAGGTAAGATATGGAAATGTATTTGATCTTATTTGATGAAAATGTTCAAGGTTTCTGAAATTGGTTCCTACCTTCACTGAATAGGAGCTGTGGTAGCATAGTGACTAAAGCACTTGACTGCTAACCAGAAGGCTGTTGGTTCAAACCCACCAGCCACTCCTCAGAAGGAAGGTTGGGCAATCTACTTCTGTAGTGATACTGCCTCGGAAACCCAAGGAGGGGTCACTATGAGTCAGGGCTGACTCAACGGCACGTAACAACAACAACAACACCTTCAGTGAATATCCAAAGACTTGCAAGGAAGGGTTTTTTTTCCTTTGAGCGTATCTCCATTTACTACTATTTAGTTATGTACTACTATTTATTTAAAAGTTACTAGTTACTTTTAACCACTGGTTAAAAGGTTTTGTTTTTGGATTTCCATTTCTGTCAAAAAGGAAAATCTAGTTATCTTCTCTGTTACTCAGAAAGCAAGACTGAAGTATTTTTGTAATCATTTGGCAGTAAGTAGAAATACAACAATCCCTGTACCTTGATCTTGGGTAATATTTCACGTTGACTTAACTCAAAATACTGTTTTCCTTCCCATCCAATCTATAGCTATAGACATCTGAGATAGGCTTTTATCCTGGTTCCCAAGGGAACCTAAGGGAGTTTGAGTGCTATAAGCAATATCATGGTAAACGGAAAATATTGAAGTTGTTGAGGATTTCATTTTACTTGGATCTACAATCTTCACCCATGGAAACAGCAGTCTAGAAATCAAACAACATATTGCATTGGGCAAATCTGCTGCAAATAAATGACTTCTATAAAACTTAAAGCAAAGATGTCACTTTAATGACTTAACGTGTGCCTGACCCTGACATCCTGTTTTCAGTCACTTCATATGCATGTAAAAGATGAACAGTGAAAAGGAAGATCAAAGAAGAATTGATGCCTTTGAATTATGATGATGGCAAAGAATACTGAATATACTATGGACTACTAAAAGAATGAACAAACCTATGCTGGAGGAAAAAAACCAAGCCAAACTCATTGACATCGAGTTGAATCAGACTCATAGTGACCTCCATTGGGTTTCTGAGGCTGTAAATCTTTGCGGAAGTAGATTTGCCCCATCTTCCTTACACGGAGCGACTGGTGGGTTTGAACTGCTGACCTTCTGGTTAACAGCCAAATGGCTTATCCACTATGCCTCCTTAGAAGTGAGGTGGCAAGACTTGTCTTGCTTATTTTGGACATGTTATCAGGAGAGACCAGTCCCTAGAGAAGGACTTGATGCTTGATGCTTTCATCAGCAAAAAAGATGAAGACCCTCTATGAGATTATTGACAATGGCTGCAAAATGGGCTCAAATACAACAGTTGTGATGAGGAGGAGAACCAGGCATTGTTCTAAAATGGATTCTCTCCTTTTTGATCCATTCTTCAGCCTTTTTCCTCAAGGTAAGATACGGAACTGTATTTGATCTTACTTGATGAGAATCTTCAAAGTTTCTGAAATTGGTTCCTACCTTCAACTGTTCAACTCGGGGACTATCCAAAAACATCTTTTATACATGGGATCTTTATGATTCGCAGCTGAACCCACAACATCTAATAACAACAACCCTCCCCCAAGACCAGTTGAATTTTCACCTTTTTAAGGAACATTTAGCTCTACTCCACTCTACTTGTGATGCAAATAGACTCAGTCAGTCAGTCTTGCCTTAGCCATTAAATTTATTAACTCTTGTCAGTCTGCCTCAAGGCTTTCCCATTGATTTCTTTAGTCCACGCTGACTTTTGTAAATACTTCATCTCATGGGCATCTGAAATCCTTGGTTATTAGTGTAATTGGGAGGAAATCAATCCTCCTTGCCAAGTCCTTCAGAGCCCCATGAATTCTTTAGCCTCCCCTAGCAGAATATTTGCTCAAATTGTGTCTGTTTTATCACACGCTGCAGAAAATCAGCCTATGGTGTCCTAGGGCAAAGGTTTCCCAGCCAGACGGAATGGTGTTTTCTGTGGGGCCTCTCTCCCATATTTGGGTTTGAAAGGACACTGCTGAAGACTATTTGTTTCATCTGAGTCTGAGTAGTTGTGCCTCTGTTGGTTGCCAAGTTCCAGTGCCTGCTTTATTTTATTATCTAGAACTTTAATGGTGGAGTCATCTAGGTTCATGAGACCTTAACACATTCTGTCCAAACACAAAAAGACTGATACATAGCTAAATGCCTGTATATGCATTTACAATTTTATAAAGACCTACCCAGTGAGCCAGATACTCGGGACCACCTTCTAGTTCAGCTGTTTACTACTTGGGAAATAAATAAAGGAAGGATGGTAAAATTGTCAAAGCTAACATCACAGAGTTTGCTTAAAGCAAAAGCAAAAGAGATTTACTGAGGGAAAGAGATGGTCTGGATCAGGAAGACATCCAAATTTCAGAGTGAAGATGGCTTCTCTACTGGATAATGAGGAGGAAAGCATTTTTGAACAGTTACAAAATCATAATTGAAAGGGATGTCAAAGGCAGGATATCTAACAGGTATTTATCAGGGATAGATGGATAACGGGATTACATGATTGGTTAGGGGTATATAATGGCAAGTGTACATGCTATTCAGTTTATTACAAGGTGGTTGCAGGACAGGCTTTTTGGGTAACTTGTGAAAATTGCTTTCTCAATCATGTCTGTTTCTGGGGGTCTGTTGTAAAGATTTATTGATAATGCTGTGCATCAAGACCCCCGGAGCATAAGCTATCACATCTTATATCTGTTTGGCTATAGTGGAAAGACCTTTTGGGGGTAGATTGTGATATACTGCACCTGCTAGAGCTCAGAGAAAAAGAATGTCTCCTTTAAGGTATGATCAACATCAAGGTTAAAGGAACTGCTGTTAGAAAAGGCAGGTTTCAAATTCAACATGGATTCAAGACTCATGTGAAGACTTCAAAATAGACTTAAGCCTCCACTTTCAGGCTGCTCTATTTACATACACCAAGTGCCTCTGATTTAAAACTCTTACACAAAATATACAACAAAATTGGATGTCTTACAAGATAAGGTGAGCCAAAATTCTGCTTTGAACAAACAGGGTATATATAAACATATAGGGTAGGTACAAGCCTTCAAAGGGCAGAAACTAATTTCCCACCTCTTCAAATCCAAGATCTAAAAAATTGTTAACATATACAGACACACTTGCCATAGCCTTCCTTTCTTTTGGTCTGTGGTAGAAATGCCAATTTCAGTTTTCAAAGTTTGAAGTTTACTATTTTCCTTGATTTTTTTTTTTTTTAAACTACTGTCACAATCTTTGTTTGCATAGATTGCTTCTTAAGGGCTGTTTCTGGTTCCCTTAGGGAGTGCAGTCTAGTTGGAATACAGATGATGCAAGAATATTCCAATGTAGAAATTACGGAACTAAGGAGTAAGAATTAAAATGCTGAGCATCTAATTTTCTTCTCCAGAATAATCTTGGGAGACTACAGGGTTATTTCAGTAACACTGCACTATAGGAAGAGAGACCCCAGATTCAAAAATGTTCTATAGAGACTCATTAAGCCTTAAACAGGACAAAGACATTATCTGGATGAGGGAAACCGTCAGCATGTACCCATTACAGAGGCCAGTGGAATCCACTGAGTCACAAGTCTTGATGGTCATTGTGCAAGATAGAAAAGGAAATCATGACAAGATCTTGAGTGGTGGCGGGTCAATCCACTGTTGCAGGTGGGACTGCAGAGTTGGGGAAAGGACCATGACTGGGCTATGTACAAGACGGCAGGTTAAAAAAGGTTACAAGACTGGTTCTGGGGTTTTGATTATCTGATTACAAAGTAGTTGGATTATGACATGATCATGTGACCCTGAGTCATAGCCACCGGTGGTTACAAGACAACGCTAGGACCCCAACCTTTAACTTAAGTCAAATAATGTGTGATTGGCTACTTTGAGTAAATGCTCAGGCTTCCCTAGTTCTTTTTGTATCATTCTGCATACTAGTTAATCTGCTTTCAACCACAACTTCCTGAGGACAGACTACCCCTCTCTGGACTTACCCAAGACCTGTCTGAGCATAGCCACATTGTTGGTTTAATGGCCAGCAAGCATTGAGGAAGTACCAACTCAAATCCTGTCCAAACTTGCCATGACTCAAAATGGAGTTAAACCAAAAACCAAAATCACTGCTGTCGAGTCAGATCTGACTCATAGTGACCCCTCCTTGGGTTTCCAAGGCAGTATCTCTACGGAAGTAGATTGACCAGTCTTCCGAGTAGTGACTGATGGGTTTGAACCGCCTGCCTTCTGGTTAGCAGTCAGATGTCTTAGGCACTATGCTGAAAACACAGCCTTCAACAAACCAAGTGCTTTAGAATTTAAGCTTAAATGCAACACGAGTGTCAACAGTTTGAGATGGACTTCAGTGATGTTTGCACCCACACTAAGATCAGTCTTACTACTTTTACAGTCAGATTCTTATAAATCCCAATAGCTTTGGGAAAGACTTCAAGGAAGTATGAGACCAGAGCTGGATGTTAAAAGATGGGAAGGAAGGGAAGACCGTTCTAGACATCTAGGACAACATTTGTGAAAATAAGCATGACAACCCCATGTGAAGTGGATGGATTTTTCAGGTGAAATTGATTTAGAGAGGTTCCATAGTAACCAAAGCCACACGCAGCATCACATTTCGACACAAGACCAGGGGTTTATACTACACTACAGCTTTTTGTTTATATCTTGAGGACATTCAAGATATTGTGTCCAGAAATAATGGGGTATGCAAAGCAGCAGATTCTGAGATGGTAAGCAACAAAGCAGTTTTGAGGAACTCGCCTTATTCACTCTTTGGGCCTCATCAGTTAAAAATCTTTCAACAAAAGTAAAATCTTTGGCTACCTGCCTAGTTTCTTTTCTCATCTACTTTTTATAATCAGTTTCAAAGACAACATTTTCCCCATC